GCAACTTACCATCGCGCAAACTCTGTGTAGCCCTGGGACAATCCGAAAAGTTAACTAGTTACGGGTTAAACTAGTAGTTGAACTGGCGTGATTCCACGTGACTTACCGGTTGAAAGGAAATTTTCCATAAAGCAATCGCAACTGCTTTTCAGCCCATAAACTCATTTGATTTAAGCTATTTTAAATTCGTCTTTGTACTTGAAAGTCTTTCTAGTTAGGCTTTTTTATTTTTAATGGAGTCTGCTCCACGAAATTTCCTTGAAATGCAAAAATATGCAACAGGGAACATTGGTGTTATTTTTTAACATGGCGAAGTGAAGCTCCCTCGATAAACTCCCTTTGATAGGTGTAAGAGACTACTCTTTCTGAGAAAATTTTACGCAACTAGAAATTTGGTAGGGTTAGAGTAACATAACGTAGTTGTAACTTGTTTTTCCTGAAAGCAGTGAAATACTATAAAACTGCTCACCAGGATTGGCTACCTACTCAGACAGTTGATCCATTCTGAAGTAGTTAATGCTCATTGCTTGATATTAGTTATCTCATTTAAAATAAGCATATCATCCATCTGCGAAGTCCATTCGTGCTGATAAAGATGATACTGGTAGGGGGTACAGATTACGATTGACATTATCAATAGCCATCAGCGTTCCTCCGACTTCATCGTACCCTGCCTCACGTCAAGAATTTCTCGAAAAGATGGTAGGGAAGGAAAGTTCGTCGCAAATGTCCTGATTCCAATGGGGAGGGACCTTGGGATTAATAGCGCGCCCGGAAAATCCAATTGGGAGGGGGTTAGGGAGTCATAACCTTCCCCTCCCCCCTCTTGGGAATGTCATTGCTTGGGATTACTATTGATGAAGAACTTAAATTCTCATCGCACGTGCAAGCGACGATAGCAAAAATGCAATAGGCTTCATCCGTCGTTTCATAGCAAATAGGAGCTCGCACGTTATTCTCCTGTTGTATGCGGCACTAGTAAGACGCCTTTGGAGTATTGCTTTCAATTTTGGAGGCCTTCGAATGAGAGAGAGCTCTGGCGGCGCTCGAGGGGGTCCAGAGGAGAGCTTAGTGAATGATGAAGGAGGTTAGGGGGCTTCCGTATGTTGGGGTTGTACTCGTTCGAGAGGTTAACGCGGGGGATCTCATCCCGGCTTTCAAGATCATTGAAGGAATCGACCATGTAGAGCGGGATACGTTCTTCCAGATTGACGGCAGTACGAGAACGAAAGGGAATAAACTTAAGCTACGGAAGCCCCAGGCACGGCTCAAGTTGCGACAAGATTTCTTTACTTGTATGGTGGTGAATGCGTAGAATGCGTTATGTGATGGCGTAGCGGCCGTGACTCGCTTTAACACGTTCGCTGCCGATGACGCACCTCGTCGTTATCCTTTCCATAGAAAAGTACGTCATCGGCAGCGAACATGTTAAGAGGAGGCTAGATGACTTTAGGAACAAAACAAAGGGAGTAACGTAAACGCTAAGGGACTAGGCCAGTGATGCACAACCTGCGGATACCTTTTTTGTGGCCCCTTGGATGCCTCCGGTCTCTAAAGGTCCATATTTATATGCGGCCAATTTCGGCTCATGTTTGAGGGCCAGGCCCTCGAACCCCTCGAATATGAGCCGAAATCTCAATTTGGCCCTCTAGGGGGAAAAGGTTGTACACCACTGGACTAGGCATTAGGAGAACTTAACAGTAAGAAACTAGGATATGAAAAAAGAAAATGAAACAAAAAAATATCTAATTTCAAGAGGAGTAGGCCTATCCTATGTTACTGGTACTGGAACGCTCGACCTCGACGCGGGATATTCCAATGGGCGAAATAGCCTCGTGATGCCCATCCGAAACCTTGATAACTTGGATCGGCCAGAGAACGTTAAACTTTTCCTACTAATTACCGCTCTCTCCTCTCTTACAACGGGAAGAAAGCCCGGAAAAGGCAGCCCAGTCCACTTACACATCCGAAAATAGGAATGGACCAACGAACAGACTTCTAAGCACACCACCGAAGACGGGGAAACGGACTGTTTTCAGAATTTTCAAAGGAACCCAGTGTTCGGGCATAATTTGTTTAAGGTATTGCTCATTCACATACTTGTCTATGGATGGTCTCAATGCTGCATAGGCCAAGGGTAAATGTTTTCTCTTGACAGCAATTGGGTCAGAGGAGTTCACCATGGATGTTGAAAATCCGGCACCACTGTTCCCATGATGGTGGCTCGGGTAGGATGTTGACAGTGGGACTAAAAAGTGTCCCTCGGTGCACCTGTGTCATTTCCTCCCCTTACGCGAGGCCAAAAATGCTTCATAATACATAGAAAATGTGAACCGGTTACTTCAACATGTGTTAGATTACATTTTAAAGTGTTACGTGCCATTGACAACGTGGAAGTGATTATGTCGGCAAGTTATGGTTGGCATAGGTATATGAAAGTCTAATCTGTGATGGGCTAACGTCGTCAAGGATGATACCTTGCTAACCATAGCTAATGCCCAGCCTTACGTTAACTTTGCTAGGCGGTGACCGTTGCCAAATCCTCAGGATGAAGCTTAAGATATTAGCTCAATTTCATTGACGATCGTCAAGGTGAAATGAATATTTGTTTCCGAGTCTCACTGAACGTGACACCCCCCTAAAATATGGAATAATTAAGTCGAAAATTTGTGTTATGTCATAAGATGATGGTGTACAAAGTAGATCTTGAAAGGGGGAAATGTTATCAAGCAGATCCTTAAAACAAGAAACTGACTTTCTTTGATAAGAAACAGACACATTTTCAAGCTCTCTAGTCCCAAGAGGGTCCATAGGTGCCGCCAGTGGTGTGTGGAAGTGTGCATCTGCCACATGTGTTTGGGGTTGATGCAACTTTGAGCATATGTAACATTGTGAGAGTGGAAGAGTATGCATGAGGACAACTGAATGTTAGGCTGTAGTGTTCAGTGGTTGGCATGCCTGACCTATGATTAGGAAGCTTGGATTCAATTCCAGCAATTCTTTGACTTTCTTTCATAATTCTGCATATTTTTTTTTCCATTGGATAACCTTAATATCAAGTTCCTCCCAATAACTGCACATTTGCCCACTGATGCATAACTTTTTGCACCACGCACAAGGCCTGTTCACACTCCCTCCTGCTTGCTTTCCTGGCCCAGCAAGACCCTTCAATCGCATAGGACACTAATTTAGCATATTTACTGCCAGCCTTTAAGACTCTCACCCAGTTTGTATGGCATATTTCAATAGTTTCCCTATATTTTCAGTGTCTAGAACCTGGGAGGATGTGACAAAATCATTTACAATACTCCTAACAACTTAAACTAATGCTTAACCCTTTTAGTGCCATGCAGAAAATTAATAAATTAATGTATTTCCTCCCCCCCCCCTGGCACTAAAAGGGTTAAAGTAGATCAAGTTAACCCTCTTATGACCCAAATTAATTTGGCATGATGAAATGAGTATCTGGTGACAACAGAATTACTACTAGTCTAAATAGCAGAAAAATTCTTTCTTAAAAATTTTTAAGCATTTCCATTATAAATTGGTTTTTACCTCTTTATAACTTTAAATTAGCTCAAAGCACTAAACCAAGATGAAAAAATTTCCCATCAAATTAGTAATATAGTTAAACTTTCTCTTTCCTTATTTTATAAAGAACAAAGTGCAAAATAAAAACAGCAATACGAGAAGTGGAGACCATAATGTGACAGGTTGTCAATGTAGTGAGATGAGCGAAGCCTGGTTGCATTGACTTGAACTTCTGAGGAAAGTAACATGATGATAACAATGTGCTAACTAGAATCTGACCTCAAAGTTACATTGAGTTGCAGTGACATGGCAATAAAACTCCATGCAAAAAATGTAAAATTCACTATGACTTTCAGGTTACATTGGGTCATAGAGGGTTAAATATTTCCATTTATCCTCCACCAAGGACAGAAAGACATCAAATTATATATCCAGATTTAACTGTATGTGACATTGAAGATAGGGAATATTTTAATCAGTGCCTAAGCAGGGGAATGTGTTGTTTCTCTTATGAATGGAATTCTCCAATGTCTGGAGAATACTAAGGGAATTAGGAATATTAAGAGCTCAGAAGCCTTTCTGGCATCCCTTTGCTTGCTTCCAGGCCCAGAATTGTTTCTGGGTTTCTGAAACATGAAAATATGGTAGCCTGAATATTGCTGAACTTTAGCCTAAGTCTCAAGAAAGCCTTGTAGCTACAATTCCAAAAAATCAAGAATAACTTTTTAAATTGAAAAACAACATGTGACAACATCATGAATTGATTATTATGGAAAGGGAAACAAAAGGATACTTTAGGCTTTACACTTCTTAGTGGTAAATTTGCAATTATTTCACATTGCAACTAGAAATTGAGTAAGTAAGAATGTTAAGTGGCCTAAAACCCAAAGTATCAGCAGTGTGGGTCCAACTCTACCAATAATAGACAAAGTAGAGCAAAGAAACACTTTTGGCTATATAAAGCAATGGAGGGTTCCCTAGTCTCACCAAGTAGCTTATGTTAACTCCAGAAGGAATGATATTCTCCTGCTCTTGTAACCCCCCCATGCCAAAGATGACAATCAGAGCCAAATCTCCCAGTGTCTTATTGTCAAGAGTTGTGTTATTAAGAGATTTGCATCAATCATTGCAAGGTTGAGCATCATAGCATACATTAAATTCATAGTTTGTATGAAACTATCCCTAGACATCATTCTCCTGCCCATCAATGACATAGCTTTTTGCCTGCTACCAGTTTATATCTTGTGTTCCCCCTGCATGTTATAATGTTTTTTGTAATTCATAATCTAAAGCAATGCTTGGGATGACTGGCTCTTTTTGCTCCAAGTGGCATTAACTATAGTGCCAAGGTGTTATTGGTTAACATTAGAATAGGCTTTGCATAGGTGTATGTGCATAACTAGACTAATAGAAACATGAAAGAAACTGGAATGACTCATGCTGAAACCATCCCTGCATTTCTGCATAATAGTTTCTTTGTCAATGATGCAATCAGTCTTTGGTGGACTTCCTGAAGAAAAGAATAACTTCAGGGATTAGAGATGCAATTGAGTATAGAATTGCAAGAAACCCTTGGAAGCTGAGATCAGTGCCTGAGGATAGAAACTGAAGATGTCAATTCCACCACCTCCACCTGGTCCACCACCTCCCCCTCCACCTGGTGGAGGGACTTTGCGCTCCAAAGGCAAGCCAAAGTCCTCTGCTGATGAACACAGTGCCTTATTGGAGTCCATCCGAAAGGGGAAGGCACTTAAGCATGCTGTCACCAATGATCGCAGTGCTCCAATCATAGGTTTGATTCATTCTTGAACTGTCAAAAACCTTGATAATTCTTGCTAAAAAAAATGCCCTTCATCATCTAGGGAAGACAAATGGTGGAGGTGGACCAGTATCTAGTACAGGAACATTGAGAGGAGGGCCTGGACCAGTATCTAGTACAGGAACATTGAGAGGAGGGCCTGGACCAGTATCTAGTACAGGAACATTGAGAGGAGGGCCTGGACCAGTATCTAGTACAGGAACATTGAGAGGAGGGCCAACGTCATCACCTCCATCTCATGCTCCTACCACTGGCCCTGTTGGATTGGGGATTTTATTTGCTGATGGCATTCCCAAACTTCGCCCCACGGGACCCAAGATCAGTTAGTCATGTCCACTCTTTTGACTCTCATTGTTTTCCATCCATCATTAGCTGAAATCATAATTGTGGATCAAAGTAGGCCTAACTTTTAAATTATGATCATTTGGTTTCATCCATGAGAGAATGCATTTAAGTATTGTTTAGAGAAGTGGTGCACAACCTTTTCCCCCTATAGGGCCAAATTGAGACTTTGTCTCATGTCTGAGAGCTGCAGGCCCTCGAATATGAGCTGAAATTGGTCGCATATTATTTCTTAACTGAGACAGGATTAATATGGATCTTTAGAGACCAGAGGCATCCAAGGGACCGCAAAAAAACAGCAGTGAAAAAAGGATGGGAAAAAAGGGCAGTGTCCATGGGCCGCATGCAACCCCTCGGCCCAAGGGTTGTGTATCACTGGTTTAGAGGAATCAATATTGAATTGCTTTGCAATGGCCCTTTTGGAAGTTTAATCTATTTGCAAGTTAGGTATCAATTTTAGGTAGTCTTGATCACTGTTTATGATGGCCATGTTTTCATGCTTCTGCATTTCCTTAGAAGTTTGGTTGCCCTGATGACAGTTTTCGAAACAATGATCTATGAACTTGAGCAAAATTAATTTTCCAATAAACTGAGGGCCCATGAAACATGTATATTCCAATATTTTCCTTTCTTTCCTTTCTTGTTAACGGTCACTTATTTCAGGGATGTTGCAAGGATTTTTAAAGGCCAGCTGCTTGAAATCATTATCAAATTGTTGTCCTCTTTCCTCTTCATCAGCACTTACGTTGCTCAAACTTATTAGTTTGATTTGATGATGACTAAGCTTTTTATCTAAAGTTGATCAATTATGTTATAAGTGGTACAATGCATGTGAGTAGTCAAATGCAAGAAAATGTAAGCCTTCATCCTAAATGATCCATTTTTTGGATAGAGGAATATAGAGAAGTAAATCTACCAATGTAGATTTAGTAATCAAAAGATTTTAAAAATCCATTTTCACATCATGCTCCTGATGAGACTGAACTGAAGACAAGAGAAGAAAAAATTTCCGTCTTCTCTCCCACTTCTTACCTTTGCCTCCAGCCAAAGTTTTTTTCCTTTTGTCTTTCATGCAGTTAGTCACCATTTCCAGGATTTGATGGTGATGGAAAATTGAGTTTCTATCTTGGTTATGTTATATCTTCCTTTCCCTGCCTGGACAGACTGCATAGTACTGTATTTGATCTGATGGGGCCCATTCAAACATTTTAATGATGCATCAAGATGGCAAGAAAAACCATTGATACCTTCAAGCATCTCTAGTGGTATTGATGCATCAACCCATTATGACAGACCTGCTTGGAATGTGCATTTTTTCTCTTATGTAGGCAGTGGAATGTAACAATAGATATGAATTTATTGGCTGAGAATGGTGATATTTTCTGGTTTGATTGAGGCAGCCTACTTTCATGTTATTTCTGACTTTCCCCATTTCATCTCTGACTATTGGCTAGGTAGCCCTCTTGGAAGATTTGAATGGAATAAGGGATAATAGGATCCTCATATAGGTCTAGCACCATTGATTGTTATACATCATATTGCATATAAAACTGCTGTGTGTATTCATATATTTCCACTGAAGGTTTTGGGAGCACAGTTGATTCTGGGTTCAATCCTCCTCCTCCACGACCAAATGCTTCAGCAAAGGTCTGACCATTTTATTTTTTTAATCATTTATATTTTTCTCTAAACAGATTCGTTTTTTCTAAAGACTACTGGCCTCACATTCACTTTTACATAGCATCCCGTTCATGTGGTCCCAGCCACAATAATTTTACTTGTATCTAAGCTTCTGCCTGTGAGTATATAGTGTTATTAAGAAAGTCTTTTGGTTTGGCAACAAAAAGTTGTTTACCATTTACTGACACTGCAATCCTAAAAGGAAATTAGGGGTGTTGAAATTTAGAGCAAATTATCTGCTTTATCTTGGAATAAAATTATGTGCTGTAATTGAAGATAGAGGTACAATTTCCTCATTAAGTTTGAATTTTTGTTCCATCAAAGATCTGGGCATGCATCACTTAAGAATCATTTTCATTCCCATCAAATGGCAGGACAAGCTTTGTGTTGGTGTGCTGGTGTTTGACTTTGTTTAATAATCAGATATAGTTTCCCTGAAGTGGAATGGAGAAGTACAATCTGAAAATGGTGGTCTTTTCTCAAAAGACCATTACTTTAGTAAAATGCTGCTAAATATATATACATTCATCAAGAAAAAAAAACCTCCTAGGAGTCAAGAAATCTGGATGAAGTTTGATACTCAAGTTTGTAGCAGCATGCCATGAAATTGAAGAGTATTTCACAGGAATAGGATGAATATTCATTGAGAAAATGTGTATAATTCTCCAATTTAGTTAGAGGTGAGGGGGTCATACTAATTGCTCTGAATCATCATCCAGATTGCTTATCATAGTGAAACATGGAATGGAAACTCTTAAAGATGTATAAGAAATTTGAGCAACATTTTAAGGTCATAAGGTGAGACAAGACTGAGAAAGCTAGACAAATTTTTAAGGAAGTTTCAAAGAAGGTGGTGCCATTGATGGCACAAAATTCATTTTCTTTTCCACTCAAGCCACCTTGCTGTTGGGCCATTGCTGAGTGTCTAACTTGAAGGATTCCCAATTGGCTATTTCGACAAGTTGCTTGCTAGATTAAAGTAGATCAATTGGGATGCTTATTTTACATCAGGCTGATGCATGTGTTCCAATTACCTAGGGAAGACATGTATAGAAGCCATTCTTGAGAACCTAGAATGGAGATGACAGTGTTGGATGTGTTGAATAGGGTCCATGACAGCACATCCTTTGTGATGATGATTCTATTTTCTTGTAACCAGGTGCTTGCATTCAACAACTGCCATTGGTGATTCTGAAATTCTGTCTATAGCATGTGACCATATGTTACAGCAGTCAAAGGAAACCCTTGCCCTCTGGTCTTTGAAAGAGTATAATTTTAATTCTATCTGCCTTGGGTGTTGCCCATAAAATGATTTTCCCAAGGTGTTTCTTGATGGAGAATCTTTACTTGTTTACCCCTTGTAAGGATTGCATGGATTCTATTATTAATCATTTTTATGATCTCCAAAGTTTCTCCATGGTAAAGTTATCAATGGCTTCATGGCTCTGTCCCCCAGCAGGCAGTTTCTCCAAGGAATTCATTTCTTCACACTGGTGGACGAGGAAGTGATGGAATGACAGGAACCTTGAAGGCTAAGCCACAGCCACCTCCTCAAAGTGCCAAACCTGCCATCAATATGGTAATCCCAATTCCTCAACTCTCTGTGCTTGACCACCATCTCTCTGCTTCTAAAAGCACTGGTACAACTAGATGTGTGACTCATGAGGAGCTACATTCAGAATTCCAAAAAGTGACTGGGAAGATGCCAGGAGCTCTACTCTGATTAGGACCGTGCAATCATGGGAAGCTGAAACTTGTACTGCAATATTCAATTAAGATGATTCCTTCCTGGAACTCGTGAGGAAAAAATAATTTTTCCTTGCAACCAAGGCTAGGAATGACTGAATGACCTTTTTCATTGATTTTCCAAGGAAAATGAGAGGATAGATCTTCCCCCCCCCCCCCTGTTTCCTAAAAAGTGAACAGGGAAGAGAGAGATACTGAGAGGCTGGGCTACCCTTTCTAAAAAATAAAAACAATAAAGCGAAGCTGAATCTTTTATGGTTTCAGTCAGTTTCAGACATTGATTCTAGGAAGCAGTATAGTTAATACCTTGAATTTTCATGAGGTTTTTGTGCAATGTTGTTGATGCTGAAAGTATCTATCTTGGACATCCCAAATACTGAAATTTCCAGTTGACTGTAGTGCAGCAAGTACTATTTGATGTATAAACTATTCTATGGAATTTAGGCTTCATTGCAGCATTATTAGATTCTTATGGTTTTTGTTGGTGACATACATTTAATGTGTTTATGGAACAAAAATCCCAGTGGACATACCTAGACTTATTCTGAGGTGGGGTTTCCTTCTCCTTTATAAGTTCAATTTTTCCTTGGTGGTTTCACCTATATAAATTCTTATTCACAATAAGCCTGCTTGAGCTATTCCATGTAAAGTGATCACACAAAGATGGTTTTGAATTGTTAAAATTTAAGTAATTTAATCCACATCTTACTTTAAAAGCTGGTCACTTGGTGTGGAATGTCCCTCACCCCATGCAGTGTACACATCTTTGTAAATGTATTCTATGGATCCAGTTATTTACCTCTTAAGCAGTTGTCACGTATATATATGGGGTAGCTTTTATTAGCATATAGCAGTTGTCCCATTTATATATGTTCAGTTTAATTGGAGCCTGATTTTCAGTCACATATAGGCAGATTTCAGGCATTGCTTAACAAGGTGCTTGACAGAATTGTATAAGCAAATCTCCTTGTCTTTGCAGGGTGAGTCAGGGAGCATATGCTTTCCTTCTGGGAAAGCAGCCAGCACCCCATCAATGAGCCAGATACTAGAGAGGTCATTGCCATCATCGGCTGTAGTACGAAAGGGCCCACCCCCATCTATCCCACCCATGAAATCACTTGCACCACGACCCCCAAATCAGACACAGTTGATCAAGCCAGCTCCACCTCCAAAGCTGAACTTGAGTCGAGCTCAGAGCATGAGGCATGGGCCAGCATCTCCGACAAGTCCAACAACACCCATACGGAGTCAGGATGACCTCCATAGCCCTCCTCCAATGGGTCAACCAGCGTCCATTCGAAGTCTGGCACCTCCACCTCCTCCCACTCGCAATCGGTCATTCCCCCAGGCAATCAACAGCCTAGGTGTGAGCCAAAGCCCATTGCGAGCAGCACCCAGACCTCCCAGTGTGAGGCCTCCTCCACCCCCAACAAAGTCCCTTGCTCCTCCCAGTCAGCCTCCTCCACCACCTCCCCCAAATGTCCCCCCTCCACCTTCTAAAACTGGCCCACTCAATGCAACCTTGAAAAGGCCTTTCATGGTGAGGAGTGTTTCTCCTGGCTTTATTTTCTTCTTCCTGACTGTCTTCTGCATGAGAAATAGTGAAGGCAGAATCATCTATAGTTTTAAAACGACTATGGTGAAAAGTGAAGTTATGTATAGAAAAGTAGTCTATAAAGAATAACAGAATGCTCAGCATCTCATTTTAGCAAGTCAAGAATATGCTTCTGTATTATGTGGTGATTTTAAAAAGGTATTGTGTTTTCTTCTAAGCAGCCACAGCAATCCTCTCCTCCAATTCCTCCTGCCAGGAACTCCTCCATGGGAAAAAATAATCGAGGTAAGTGCTGGGAAATTATTTAGTCATATCACTAAGTCTCCAAGTGAATATCTGTGATGAAGACATCTACAAGCTTTTTTACATTTGTTATTCTATTTAATTTCTAAGTTGCAAGAAAACATTTACAAAGCTGAATCACTTACATGTTTTTCTTTTCATTATTTGGCTCCTCAGTGGCAGAGTTTGAAGGAAAATTTGAATTCCCACCTATATCTCAATTTCCATCGCCAGAATCACCTTCCATACTCAATAAGTCCTACCCCAGTCGCAATGCTACCTGTAAGTTCCATCTTTGATATTATTTCTATCTACATGCTTTGGATTTGCAGCATCATATTTTATTTTATGTGTGGGCTGGCTGTAGTAACTTATTTTCTCTTCTGAGACCTGAATTTCTCATTGTATTCTCAGAGAGTTTTCTGCCTTTTTTTAGTGTCGAAGAGGCCTCCAGCCCCACCACCTCCTCAGGGTGCAACTCCTGTTGTGGTGCAGCTGGGAAAGTTCTATGAAAGTAATGTCTCACAGTGCTAATGAATGCATTATTGCATAGACTACAAGTTTTCCTGTGATGAGATCATCTCCCCAATGACTTGTCTCATGTGCACAAACTGTTCTTGTGTCATGAGGCTTTCATGGCTGTTTTCTTAAGGGAGAGAGAAGAAAGTGCCTGCATTCCTGCCTTTTTTTTCTGGGTGTATCCACTGCCTGAGTCAGACTTAAGTGGTATCAAGATCACAATTGTCATCGATGTACTGAATTTGGCAGGGGAATTTGAAACGCATGTATTGAATGAGTTGAACAATGGTTATTTGGTATATGCTGGTGCTTGAATGGAAAGGGGAGAAAAAGTAATTTTTATTTTCCATCCCTTTTCCCTCCCCATATTGTCTGAAAGATATAGAGCAGGGGTGTCAAACACAAATGGGTTGGAGGGCTGCATTCCTTACCCTGCAGATGCCTCCAGGCTGCACCAATAATTTTTCTCTGAAATTTTTGCTATAAGTCAATCCAAACTGAAATTTCAAGAACAGATGGTGGGCTGTATGTTTGAAACCCCTGATATAAAGCAACCAATGCTTAGGAGCCATGACTCCCTACCCTCACATGAATGATCCTAGAGAACAGCAGCTCCACTACTGTTTCTGTTTTCACCATCAATATTAGTGAGGCTGAACTAAAAATGGTCAGCAATTTTATTGAAATGGGGAATGAGAAGCATAATGCTTTTAAAAAAAAATTGCCACAGTCAGTGGGAGTAAAAGACCAAGCAATGACAGAACAAATTGTGCACTCTCCAATCATTTGCATGGTTCTGTCTCCAGCACTTCTATTGAAATTATGTCTTTTGTTGGGTGTCCTTCCCAGAGTGGAGAAGTTTGTATAAATAGGGAAGTTATTTAATAATACTCAAGGTAAACAGGAGGCATATGGAATCAAACCAGATGTTTTGGAAGAGTTCCACCTTCTATGCTGAATGTTTGGTATCTGCAATTAGCTGTAACATTCCAGTTATATTTGGCATCTAAGAGTGAAATGATTGAAATATGCTGGGTGAAAAAAGCCTAGACACCATTGAAGCTCATGTTATGACATATACATTGTATGAGTTCACTTGGAGACTTCAAAAATTTTTTTAAAACTTTTGAAATTAAAATTTAACTCAGTGGGATGGAATTGAGAGTCCATCTACCTGTATGCACCATCCTCACCCATCATTGGCCTTCCTTAAGTTCTCTGTTACCAGGTGTTCATCTTTCAATGGCCATTTCAAGGTCCATTAATCAAGAGTTTTATGCTTTCTTGTTGCCTCATGCATGTCATCAAGCCCCAGTCATTCCTCACATTAGGTATTGACTTGGCAGGCCCCACAACAGCGCTTTCTCTGTGTGAATGAACCTCCCAGTTCCCTTTGTTTGAGAATCTTGCATTCCAAGGGAGTCAGGATGATACAAAGATTCATCATCTTCATCATGATGTGATGTTTTCAGTTATCTCTTGTTTTTCCCTCATTTTCTCAATGCTGGAATTGTCCCATGAATGGTGCTATGCTTGGCTGTGTCTGCTCCTCCTCCCTTTTTTCCTCCCAATCAAAATGATAATTATATTCTCATCTATCTATATTTACCATGTTGATTCATTTTTCATTTTTCTGTTACATTAGAAGACTTTGTCTCTGTTTAGTTGTTTGTTTGTTAATGATGTCCATTGGTCTTGCCCAATTGCTTAGGATTCTCATCCTGTATCATAAGCATCATCTTGAAGATGAAGATTATATTTTTACCCCTTTTTTTCTGCTCTCATCAATGGAACTTGTGTAATCCATGGAATAGAAAATAATTAAATTGAAATAAACATTTATTAGTATGACGTATTTGTGTCTGACTTCACATGAGAGTGTAGAATGTGAAGATGGTAAGATCCTGCACCAAGGGAAGCCCCTTTTTTTTCCATGTTTACTGGATCTTTCTTCCAAGCAAAGAGGTGACTTAATTATTTGTGCTCTGATCTTTGTTGTGAGATGAAAACCAAGAAAAGATTACTCTGTAGTGTAGAATATTGTTATTAGGACACATGTATTGGTGAAGCTCATTCTGAAGAGAGACCTTTTGCAAATTTTGCAAAAAAAATAATAATTATTAAAAAATTAGCTCATTGCTGAATCATAATGTTCATGCACAGGCTTAAGCTACGAAGAAGAGTTACCTCAATCTGTTTGCTGATGTACCATATCTCTGAGGCAGAGACCCCTTTCAGCTTTGGTAGCAGTTGGATACATAATTGAAGAATGGCAAATAAGGCTGAATCTTTCTTGGCTTCTTAACGAAACCTCAAGCTTGAAACAGAGCATTCAAATTCACCTCTGTTGGAGACTAGTGGCTACAAATGTTAACCCTTTGACTATTATAACACGGGGGATGGCTGATACATTTTCATATAAAAATTGACCCTGCTTGTTTAAAAACAATAGTTTATGTAAGATAATTTCATATGATAACTATTGAAGACAGCTGTTAATGCATCAACAGCCATGAAGTAACCTAGAAACAATGAATGATCTGAGCCAGGGAACTTTCCCTTTCCCACTGCGTAAGCCCCAGTACATACTCGGGCAAATAGCCAAAGGGTTAAGCAAAGTCAGGATTGGATCTGCATTGGCACCTCTTAAGAATTCCAACTTGTTCTTGTTGCTGATAGTGCACTGCACTATCTTGAATGTCCCATGTGGTAATGAAAGAAATTACAATTTATGATAGGTTACTGTTTGCAAAACTACAAGAATGTTTGAAATCATGCCATCATGTTGCAGCCTCATCCCCCAACATCATTGACACCTAAAACTCCATGCATATTTCACCTTGGAAGTCTTCACTTTCTCATCTTCCATGCCATCTTATTTTTAAATGACTTCATCATCAAGTGAAACAATCAAGAATGATAAGAAAAGCAATAGAAATTAGATTTTTCTATTTTACCTGTTATGCCCTTAATGTATAGAGTGGAACTGTTTAAAAAAAAAATGTTTTACATTATGCACCATTAATTTTGCAGTTTTGAGTCAGATGCCTCAACAATTGCTGGAGGTTGTGGTTACCTGATCTTCCCAGATACCTTTTTTTGGAATAATGCCATTTTTCCTCCAGGATTTAAGCACATAATTGTTGAGGTATTTGTCTTTATTAAATGTCAATACCTAGACAAAGATGATCACTTTAACTAAATTCTAAAGGCACATGCTTGTGGTGTGGGTGAGTCCACATCTCAATGCCTGGCTAGTAGAAGCCTAAATAGAGTTCTAGGCCTTTGCAAATGGACCATCTTCTCCTGACCACAGGAGTGAAATGCACAGTAAACAAAAAGCAGAAATTGATGGCCATCTAACTGCAACTCTTTTGTGTTCTTTGTCACTAACATGATGGCTTTTCATTGCTCTTCTGCAATGTCACCTGTTACATATTTTTGTGCAAATTCCAATACAAGGTATGTTTCCTTGATTGGTGATAAGAAACTCATTTCATGATTTTTGAGTCTGTGCAGTTTTCTGTTTTCAGAATGGTAAAAGTCCTCTGGCTTACTATCCCATCTACCCATACACACTCCACCTGACTCAAGGTGGAGATGAATTCCAGTGCCAAAAACCAGCAAATTGCTCCTGATAATGGGAGGAAAGTCAGAGGAAGAGGGGGAAATGAAAAGACTCATGTGTGAGGAGGACCCAAGTAGAACTCATGTGGAAATGAGGGGATTGAATTGAACTGACACTGGCGTCTGTGCCACTCGACTATTCAGAAGGGGAGCAAACCACATGCTGTTACACAAATCAGAGAGCACAGGGTAGAGGATGCAATCATCAATGAAACCCTGGAGATGCTGAGCCAGGGTGGAAAAGTATTAGAGCATGGTCCCTAGACCCAAGACTCCTTCCTCTTGCTCTTTTCCATGATGGAAGCAAATCACTTGCCTATGCAGAAGTCAGAAAAGATGCGATCAAGGATGTCTTCATTGGTGAAGGTTCCAACAACAGCCTTGAGATGATGAGCTGCAGTTGACAGGAGCTGGGATGCAATCCCAAAGTCCAGTCCCCCTTCTCCCCGTCCTTTTGCCACATATTCCAGGAAGTCCTGGAGTGCACTGAGACAGAGGAGAAGATGATGTCGGTGTCTTTCCCGTGTCACCACCCCTGAGTCTCCACCTCCAATATTGCCACACCTGCCATTCTGTTCATTCTATCATGCTCCATTTCATGAGAAATCCAAAAATGACAAGGATACTCACAGTTGATGAAGTTCATGCTTGATGGCACTCCAGAGATCATCCAGTCCTAATTTATTGAAACAAGACAGAAGAATTCCCTCCCTTCCCCAGTTTGTCAATTCAACTCCTCCTCTCAAGAGATCCCTTTTGTTTAAAACCAGGATGCAGGCTTTTCCTTCTTCCTCTGCACACGGGTAACCATCAGCAGCCAAGTGAGCCATGAGACCCTGCTCAGTTTTGGAAATCTTCACTCCACAGCCTTTTAATGTCTGATCTATGGATATCTCTTCCTGAAATGGATTGAGTGGCAGCAATTGTAGCAGGCAGCCTAAAATAAATTATCATGATTTTGCTACGGGGAATGCAGAAGTTGGGCATTTTTTGGTGAGAGGTTAGGGAATGGGTATATAAGTTTGGTACATGAGCACTTGGCAGAATGACTAGACTGAATGCACTGATTGGTTTTCCAGTTGAGAGAACCATTGCACATTCAAGTCATTGACCTCCAGCAGTGGCAGTAATAAGGTCAGCATCTTTCACTCCTCACATCTAGCTGCCATGGAAAACAGTGAACAACATGCTTGGAAGACTACTGAGCACTTTCATTCTCCACTCAGAACAGGAACATACTCAGAGGAGATATATAGAGATGATGGAGGTGGAGGAAGGAGGAGGACATGGTATATATTAAATAGTTGGAGAATCCCCATATTTCAAAAGCTCCCAAAATATTTACAGTGCATGAATTCATGCAAAATTAATTCCCACCTCTGCTTGGATTTGAATGAAAACTTTCAAGGTGAAATACAAGCAAAGTTTTGAAACCACTTATAATATTTTAAAGTCAAATTCAACATAATCAGACCAAATGAAAAGAGGTAAGTGTGTCAAGGAGGAAGTGCACATAAAAACATGAAGAGAACATCTTACAAGGGAGGATACATCGAGGACAACAAGAATGAGGTCAGCCTGGGTGGCCCCCTTCAAAGCCCTGTCCATCCCCTCTCGCTCCAGGGGATCTGATGTGAAATGCCTCAGCCCAGCAGTATCCATGAGAACCACAGGGTATCCCCAAATGTTCATGGGTCTCTCCACCACATCTCTTGTTGTTCCAGCCACCGGAGATACCATCGCAGCATCACTATCACCTGGTGCAGCCCAAAGTTACATATTCAATCTGAACCTATCTGACTGTGATCCTACAAATATTTGAGAATCAATGCAACAAATTTTCATTGGTTTTCATCTTTTCATCTCAGAATTATTTCCCAAGTCAACATTGCACTTTCACACAGCCATCACCTTCTCCATACCATTGGTAGCATTCAAGCATTCCCAAGCAACAGCTGATGGAACTCTTCCCATCTCCTAACTTTGTTAACTTACAGGAAATTAGGGGATAATTTCCCTGGCCATGCACTGGCTTTTGGGCCAAATATTGTGAGTAATTAATTTTTTTAATATAGATTTCTGGGAAATCTGTATAAAAAATAATTAGTCACAATTAGATCTATGGGAATCCTGAGGAAGAACAAATAGTGTTGGACAAACTAATTAAAGTTAATTAGTTTTTTAATCAATTTAGTTTTAAACAGAAAAAAAATTAGTTGTTGCAGTGACTCAAATGAAAGATAAGGAGAAATGTCAGTGTGTGGGTAATTTGATGGAAATTAAATGAATCAAGAGTTGAAAATATTATTTTTCAGAAAGTAACTACTTACCACAATGAATTACATTTTAAGTTACTTCCTCCCATATTTTTCCCTTTAGCCTGTCAAAGTTAAACAACTTCTGTTTTATAAGCACAACTTCTTTGACCTTACCCTTAAACCAGGGGTTGTAAACCTTTTTGCCCATATGAACCATATTAAGATGGAGCTAAGTGCTTGTGAGCAAAAGATTTTCAGAACATAAATTTTTCTGAAGTTGGCAACAGACATGTGCATTCTTTGATGCATGAGAAAAATGAAGAACAACCATGATTTTTAGCCATGACTCAATAAGCCAAACTTTTCAGCTCATGAGCCATAGGTTCCCCATCCCTGCCTTAAACCCTTATCTATATTATTATATTTCAGAATGTTCGTATGTGTGTCTGTCCTTTATGCATGGCCACATCTCTGATCCCAGTCTAACCAAACTTTGAATGGCTTTCTCATTTGGTCTGGGAATGGTCAGGGTGGTGTTTCAAAATTTGGACCCTCTGGGGTACCTTATTCAGTACATATTTGGCTGATTCACAAGTACATATTCCCCAAAGGAGTCAAAATTTTGGGGGGTCAGTACAAAGTTGCAGAGGGGCTCCATGTTACAAAATAAAATTTCTGTTGCACCTCACAGCACAGCAGTGAGGTGTTTCAATGGAAGTGTTTCATATTTAACATTATGCAGAAACATCATTTAATGGAGGTAAAGGGGAAAAGGAGCAGAAATAACCAGAAAAACAATAAGAACAGGAAATTATTCCCACCAGAGCAATAGTAACCAGTTAGTGCGACTGCTGTTACTTCTTTCTCCAAAGAATGAATTGATTTTGCAGATAGTTCAGAGAATATATATATAAACTCATTATCCATGACATTACCCATGCAGTACCCTTCATGTTTCTTGGGAATGTAATTATTTACTTCAATGTGTTACATTTACTTCTAAGATCACTACCCAACAATGCAAATATATGAGGCATGATGAGAAAGTCAGACAGAGGAGATTGAGGAGGGATGATTTGCCAGCATTGGGAGGTCCAAGAATGGCAAGTCGGAGGCCCTCTCGGATTCTCTGGGCCCTTGTCCCTTCTTTTAGGGATGTCTCTATGGAAGTCATCAACTCTTGCACTTGATGAGAGATTCTTACACATAAAACTTCCTCCTCATCACTATCATTCCCTTCTGTCTCACCAAAGTCAATGCACACCTCCATGTCTCTCATGCACTGCAATGGGAATAGTTAAATATCCTCTCAAATGATATGTAACTTCTAGCACAACTACATTGATGAAGTGAAACTATTCCTTATAAATGAAAACTTCTCAACTCTTTGCACCTTCTGTAGCTTCTATAGGCCCAGCTTTCCTTTCCATAACAGATTATCATGTCCACTGACACCAAATTACATGTAATTGGAAATTATAACACAATTTTCCAACTAATTCCAATTATCTGTCAATGCTGCAAAGGAAAACAAACAATTAATTGGGGGAAAGGACAATACCTGATGGAAAGTGCAAGGAGTAGGAAAGTTAATCTCTAAGATAGAGATATTAGAACCTGGATGATGAGTTCCCTCCAGTGTAAGTACACAGCACTGGCCTGTCCATTCATAAACTTCAATGCCTGGGCATGCTGTGCTTCTGTCTCTGCAACCAATAAGTCTGCCAAACCCTCCACCTAACATTCAAAATCAGTCACTTCATAAAACAGTCCAGATATTCTTGTAGGCATTCCAACTTCATGTTAAATGACCTACATATCTCATAAATATTAAGGAAACTTTCTACAGCCTCTCACTTCATCAATTTGTCAGTAAGCAGCAAGACTGAAGCTTTTGTCATAAATACATCCTCTGATTTCCATCAAGACTATATCAGAGTTTTAAAAAATCAAGAATACAGGAAAGGGTGACATTTAATTTTGCCTCAAAGTAGCAGGAATATTTCATTTTGCCATAGACCCACATCTGCAGTTAAAAATTAATACCCAGAATACCTATATAACCAAATTTATCATGGCTCCATACTTCAGCAACTCAAGGGAAAATGTATTTCTTGCTTATTTCACAAAGGCAACTTGCAAAATAAAATGGCTGATGTGCGTATACCTTTACAGCGAAAAGTGAAAATGGTACATGTGTACTCGGTGACTGAGACTGAGAGAAGTATCAGGTCTGTACTCTCGCCTTATCCATTTTTCACTTCAACCTTACCTGTCAAAGAGTGCAAGTGCACCATATTGACATTTAGCTGTAAAGGAACACTGGTCCTTTAATTAAAAAATTGATATTTCAGACCTACCTGAAATAAGAAATAAAGTAATAACTTTCATAAGGTGAGTTACAGAATATAAACTCCAGATAAACTGTGCTGTATATATTCTTTGCCATTCCATAAAATCAAACTCATGGTCCATAAATAATAATATCAATACTAATACTAATCATATCAATACTTCTGATGTTTAAAGGCCATTTGAAGTCAGTTTTATTTAGCCATAATCATGATAGGGGAAACAGCAGGCACTTATCAAGAGGGCAATTTATGCTGAAATCATGAGAATTTCTACAAATTTAGCTACAGTTCATCAGTGACATTAGAGTATGTTTCATATTAAAATTCCTATAAATATTCTTGTATGCCTGATTAGTAGCTGAAACAGCTAAAAGGAATGAGTACATGTTCATAGATAGTAAAAGCTGCAAAATTTAGCAGAAGGCAATGTTCTGCTGAGAAGGCTGACCTCCAGAAGGTCCATCTTGCCATTGAGAAAGGCCCGGCGAGTGAATTCTCCAGGGGTTGCAGGCTGACACCTTGGAATGAGACTTAGAGCACCCAGAAGACTTTTAACCACTGCCCTTCCACCATGGACATGGAATTCACACACATCTTCTCCTGTTACACTCCTTGGTCCTTTGTGGATCACATGCACAAAATAAATGCCATTCTGTACCCTTCAAATATCAAATAAAAGAATACCAGTCTACAGGATGCTGATACAAATTTCATGACATTTTCATTTTCTTAAAAAAAATTGCACAACACATAAAGTTTGATCAATTTACATAATAGAGAATGAAAAGAATCAAGGCTGATATCCAAAACCTACTGTTCCTCTCATATCCTACCATGTTCTATACTACTACCAATATTACTTTGCTAGTCAATACAAGTAGAGCTACAACTGCTCTTTCAAGTTCATTTCTGGATTCTTGGCAGACCTTGGGAATCCCCACAAAATCCAAGACAGCTTTGGCAATACAAATAGAGATGCAAAAACTCATACTGACCAGGAAACCAGACAATGATACCCTTGTCAATCAGTTCCCCTGTCTTAGGGTGGTTCAAGGATGTATAAATACACTTCCTTGCAGGTGGAAGTTTTCCTTTGAGACCAGGGCTGAGTGCCAAAAGAGCCACCTTTACCTCCAACCCTGACATTCTCACTACTGCCACTCCACATCTCCCCTGACCTAGGATATCATAAGTTCCAAAACATAAACTGCTGGATAGTCTGTTAACAAGGACTTTGAAAAGAATCTGTTTCAGGGAATCAATTGGTTGCACTAGTTACTGTTATTACAAGTGCACTACAGTAACTATAAGCTTTCTTGAAATGATTGAATGGATCCTCATAGCCAACTTATAAATGGCCTAACCTGAAGATAATGCAAAAATTGTGCTTCTTGATACAGAGAAGTTGGGTCTTGTGAGCAGAAATATATTGGGCCACTGGAACAATTTAGGTCCACATCTGCAAGAAAACCACAAATTTATAATGTCAAGTTATGAACATCCAAGCACTACACTACATTATCCTTTCTGTTAGGTGTAGAGTGCTTTCAAAATGCTTTTCCACACCTCTAGAGTGTCTTTTCAAAGACCCCACTGGCAGAATGCAGATTTAATCTTTTCTTCATGGAAAAATAGACTACTTGCACCATGATAAGAGATGGCCACCTCTTAGCTATACATGCATTTTACTAGTGAGATGATCCAATCTTCAGGATTAATAAATGCTCAGATAATCTGTTTGTTGCATACTTTGGCCGATGAGATATAAAAATCCATCCCCAATGACATCCTGGGACAGAATCTTTGCATATTGCACCTGTAGGAATTCTGTAAGATGTTCAAAACAAATACAGAAATCATCATAATATATAGACCTAATGTACAAATCACTATATGTTGTGGCAACATGTCTGTCATCCAATCCAAGCCAAATTATTCAGACTATAACATTTCAGAGATGGCTTAAATCTCCACCACACCATAACATCCATTTGGAAAGATCAACCAAATACATACTCTGTTGACTCAAGGAGAGTAATAGACAAATACATTCATTATTCTTCCAAAACTCAAAGTAGCTCAAAACTGGTACAGTACTTGGCCTCAAATTTAAAATTAGTCTATGCCACACTTCAAGCACATATCAGCAGGTCTACATATCTGTCAACTTTTCCAGAGGATGAGAGTGCTACTATACAGTGATTTTCAAAACATACCAATCGAATGTGCTAGAGCTGTCACATCCATGAAGCTAGGCACATAAAACTTGGCAACAGCCTTTAGCACAAGTGGAAAATTTATTCCCACCAGGCTGCAACACTGCAGCAACATGGCAATTAAAGAGCATGCAGCAGAGAGTTTTTGTCATGAAAATTTTCTCTCAAAGCAGAAATTACTTAGCACCATAACAAATAAAGTGCTTATTTAACATAAAATTTTTTTGCAATAAATATAGGGTATAGTAGCACCAGGAAAGGAAACCACTCTATAACCGGTGATTCAGTTTAAATGCACGTCAGTAATTTCTGTGCAGCTGCATGGATGATAATGCATTTAAATGTAACCACCACACAGTTGTGGAATTAAAGGAAGCAATGGTGGAGGAGATTTTAAACATTTCTAAAGATACACTACAGGCAGTCTTGCAAAATTACACCCTGCACCTATGAATAGGTAGAAGGAGAACCTGTTGAACACCTCCTTTATTGTGCAAATTGTGAACTCAATCTCTAAAATGTGCTAATGACCATTGTCAAGTTTCCAATTCCTAGCTTCAACAAGTCCGATATGCAACTACCAAATGGAATGATGTTAAAAAATCACCCAGTACATTAAGAGCACACCAGCTCATTACCATGCAAACTGAGGACTACCAGGCTTTGTGACATACACACACCTGTATCTATGTTTATCATATGCCCTTATGATAGCCATGAGCACTGTAGTGTTCCTGACATGTGCAAGAGTGAGGAGCATCTGATTTTCAATTAGACATCAGAGATGCTGAGAGGATTTCAAGTAGTATGCCCTAACCTGCATACTTCTCCCATGCAGAATTCAGTTTCCTTCATCCTTGCATTATAAGTGGTTCACTTCTGCATGTTTTTGGACATATAGGGTTCTGTTTCCCTCTTGTGCAAGGGAGAGAAACTCCTGAGTGGGAATAATGTGATCCAGACCCCATTCTCTAATTGATAAAAACCTCATTCTTCTATTGATTAGGGGTACAAAAAAAAAGTAAAAAGAAAACCTGTAGTGGCATGAACAAGAGACAGAATTTCTGGAGCTATTTTGGTACATTCACATAGGCAAATAAATGAGAAAGTATATTTTAAAAAGAAGAGGGATAGTTAGAAAGGGAAAGAGAGTGCTACCTAATGCAGAAAATACATGCAAACCGTGTCCTATGGATAGAGAGGGAACAATTGAGAAATTCTGACTGACACTCCACCATGCCTTTACTCTTGCTCCATGTACTACAAATTATGTGCATAGTGTAAAAAAGCAATTTGAAAATTACATTTCAAAAATAAAAGATATGGAGAATTACATCACCTAGAGATGCGAAATTAAGCGAGCAACCTCATTGTAGTAGTCAACAGTTGCAATTATCTTCACACATACACAACTAAAGCCAGCCTAAGCCTATGGTACACCTTGTCTACTAAAATTGATTAAATCCAAGAGGAGATGTTCACCTGCGTTTGCCAATGATATGCAAGGGGGCCTGGTTGATGGCCAGTAAGAACCGAGCTGTGGTTGTGGTCCGCAAGAGGAAGTTCAGAATCATGATTCATCGTCAATTCCGTCGAGATCATCAGCAGAGCCTTTCTAATTCAAATGAGTTTTTCAAGATTAACCAAGTCCAGGGTGCAACCTGGGATGATTCCAGCAGTTCAAATGGGTAGACGCTTGGATGCGCTGGTGGTGTGAGGAACACGCGCTTCACAGTGTACTATGTTAACTGCCATCTTTGAGCACAGTGTTGTGGGAAGAATCTTTGCTGTCCTTATTCCCTCTTGGTTGATGAACAGCTCAGAGTAAGAGTTTTTAGGGGGGAAAGGTTGAGGAAGCCTCCGGGCATGTTAGGAAATTATTTAGTTTTTCAATTATCATTAACTGAGGTTTAACACAATCAGTTCAATCTTCAGATTTCTCTTGGTAAATGCCTATTTTAAGAAGGGACTTCAGGTGCCGCATTCATGCTAAGTTTCAGCTTTCTATGTTTATCCATTTGACTGAAGCAAAAAATTATTTGAAAACCTCCCCGGATATTTGTGCCCCCGGGGCTTTTACCTCCAAAACCTGAATTATGTATCTTTCGTCATTTAAGTTCATGTAATGCATCTTATGCAGCGTATTCTAGCCTTCATGCTCAATAGCTTTCTCTATTCCAATTTCTTTTCCTTTCACTTCCATTCCCTTTTCTCCTCATATTTTTCCACAGAGAACAGTTTTTATTTCTTGCCTAAACTTCTTGAAGGCGGACCTACGGGATGAGTCAAAAGTCACTGGACAACTTTGAACGGCTGCCCTTTTTTAACTTCACAAAATTTAACAAATTATTGTGCCAAAACGGCTCCATATCCGAAGCCAAAATTTTGCATTCTTACTTTGGGCCATGAGGGCCATAAACAACTTTCGTCAATATCGGAGGGGCTCATGCTCCGACTTCTCTCACTCAAGCTGGAAGGTATGGAACATGCTGAAGAGACTTGGCTCCTCTGCGTTGCTCTGAACGTAAAGTAAAGAGTGTGACTAGAGGCGACACTCCAAGAGGCGGGGGGGGTCGAAATATTACAGAGACATTTGGTGGCCTGTCATCAACAACACTTCTGTGAGGCTTGCTTCGTGGCAGTGGAATCGGGAATGACTCATTCGGGGATTCAACCCCAAGGGAGTCCCTCAACGTAAATACGCGTGTCTCGTTGAATTCGCTGCTTGGCCATGGAGGCATTACTGATGTGCGTACGCTAGGTCAGTGGTTCCCGATCTTTTTTTATTTACGGTACACATAAGGACACTTGAACTTTCCACGGCACACCCAGCCATTTACTTACTTTCAATGGGAAACTTGTGCTTGCTTCGCTGAACACAGCAGTTTGATACGAGGCGTGATAGTGCAGCTCTCAGCTCGTTTTCTCCATTTACTTCCTTTCGATGGGAAACTTGTGCTTGCTTCGCTGAACACAGCAGTTTGATACGAGGCGTGATAGTGCAGCTCTCAGCTCGTTTTCCACTGAGAGATGGCGTTCCCTCTTGTTTTTAAGTTTTTTTTTTGTTTTAGTTTTTTTAGTTTTTTTTTGTCAAATCTCACGGCACACTTAAGCCTTACTGGCGGCACACCGTTTGGGAAATACTGCGCTAGGTGGAGGATCAACAGTGACATCTATATTGAGACCCCGTCAACGAATGGGATTTGAGCGGAGTATCGCTTCTAGTCCCACTCTTTACTCTATTCTCTGAAGCCAGACGAACTCATTTTTAACCTAAGTCGGGAACTCAGCCCCTTTTTCTTTTAATGTATTTATTTTACGCGTCATGAATGCAAGATATTTGACAAGAAACTAACGGTGCCTTCGTATGTGCCCGAAGTTGCGAGTCTGTCAAATATTACAATTTATTACAAAAGCCCTCCCCAATTAATTTATTGGGGAGGGCTTCAGGACCCCTAACTTACGTACAGCATGCATTCAGTGAACTTCTTGCTTCATTTCATACTTCATTTCCTATATTTTAAGTACCTTATAAAGGCCCTTTCCCCTGAGGATACACCATGGCTACTATCAGTGATCTTAAACCACACCAAAGGAGCACGAAGGTAGCGGGCCATTGGTGAACCAGGCATTACAGTGGCGGTTTTCTGGCGGAGGCGGGAACGTGGCGGCAAGTGGGACATGCGGTTGATGGCCCGCTACCTAGTGGACTAAAGGTGGCAGGCCAACCGCTTTCTTCTCATAATGTAGCTGGCACTCCCCCAGATGCAGTATCACGACTCCCCACTAAATGGTACCCATGTTCCCTGCACCCTTCAAATGTTAAATACCTGCCTTCCTGATTTAGTAAAAGTGTTTCCTCCCCTCTTTCTTCTAATTGTGCAATTGATGAACAGATATGAGGAAAGCGTGGAATTATGATGTTTTGATTGTAATATATGACTCAGTGAGTTATTAAATGTTGAAGTTATGTATGGGAATACAGAAGTGTACGGGAATAGGGAAGGGTAGAGGAAATACCTTAATTACCATCTCGTGTGTATTGAATGACTGGACTCGGAGAGTTCTGCTCGTCTTCTCAGAGTTCTATGATGGATGCGAAGAGAGAGAGGAGTGGGTCATGTTGGACTTGGGACTCCATGGGAATACGCTAGCCCCAAGTTTTAGAGGCGGACATGCATGGGGGAAATGCTGGTGTACCACCTGGTAATGTGCTGGCCCTCTAGCGGCCAGGAAGATGGCGGACCATTGCTGGCAAGCGGGACTTGTAGCTGGTGGCCCACAACCTAGTAAAGGTGGAGGGCCACCTGGTCTCTTCCTGAAACGTAGCTGATGTCTCACCACCTATGTGCTACTGGAGTACACTTGACGCTGGACGCCTTCCATGTTAGACGCCATGTTTGCAGAGATGACACGACGGGAATGGCTTGATCTCTAAGACCGGGTCGTAGCACATAACTTGGGTCGGATTTCTGCTTCATCACCCGATGCATTCGATGCTTAACGCCATGACTTGAGTCCTAGCTCGGGTCACGAGTGAATGGGCCCACTGTTTTCTCACTCAACTCAGACACACGTGTATGAGGAACATCACGTTCACAGGCGTACGAGTCGACTGAAAATTTGTCTGATTCTAGTGAAAAACTAGAAAAAAGACACATGAGGCCAGTTGCACTGCTTCAGTTGAGTCAGACTTTCGCGCAGTCTGACTTTGGGAGCCTGTTTACCATGCTTCTTAAGTCTGACTTTACTGAGGCAGTGCAACTGATCCATGGTGTATAACAGTGGTTCTTAACCCCTGGGTCGCGACCCAATTCAAGCCAAGTCAATCTGAGTGGGTCCCCAAGGGTCTCCAGTGACTGTCCGAACTTTATTTTATAGTCTAGGTCACTCATGCTACCCAAACATGCCTTTCCTCCCATCAGTCTGTTAAATGCTAACAAAAAAAAGGTAGTCCGGATTCTAAGCTTATAATAACCATGCCGAGCTAGCATTTGGGTCGCAGCCAAAAAAGATCAAGAACCACTGGTGTATGCAACATCTTCAGGGCCGGATAAAGAAGTTGCGAGGTCCGGGGCAAGTGGATTCTTGGCCCCCCCCCCCCCCGTTTAATCTGGCCCTGAGTATCTTGTAACTATAGCGATAATTCTAAATTCATGACTCTAAGCTGGAATACCCACTACGCACAATGTCTATTCCAGTAGGACTAGGCATACGAATGAAGACAAGAGATGCTTTAAGAGTGAGAGTGGTGGGCCCGGTCGAGCCCCTCCAGACTTCTGCGTTCTGCATTCATCTGCGTTCAACGGGCGCGTCCAAGAAGTGTGTGGAGGTTCAGGCCTAAATTTAAGCATAAAGCCTTTATGGAGTCGAGATGGAAAGCCGGGATCTAGGTCTAGCAGACCCTGAGCACCAGAAAAGCAACGTAAACAGCAATGTGAAAATTATGACCGATGACACCATTAAACCTCCCCAGACACGATGGGAGTCTTCAGATCCACTTGTGTAACGATCGGTACTCTCTGGCGTGGCCGGTAAGACTAAATTACACTTGGTAATTATGATCTTACTGGCAAACTGCCTTATCGTTACTGATTTAGTGAATTTGCTCCCTTTGGAACATAGGCGCCGAACCCAGGGGGGCAAAGGGGCACGTGCCCCCCCAACTATATTATTGAGGGGGCAACGCCCCCCCAAGAACGGCAAAATTTCAACAAAGGCACATGGAAAATATAGCACATGGAACATCGAAAACAAAATACTGCTTCACGAAAGAAATGAAAAGTATGATTTTCCTTTCTGTTTTGAGCTCCAACTGGGGGAGACCCCATAGTCACCCCGTACGGGTATGGGGTGGAAGGGCCGTGCCCAGCACCCCCCCCCCCCCTTACTCGTCACTATGGTACCATAATAATACTGAACTACCCCAATGGATCCTGGAATAAATGCGTCATTGTTATTTCAGGGGCAGTAGGAACTTGCCCCCCCAATACTTTTTAAATGTCGGCGCCTATGCTTTGGAAAGGTTCGTAGTGGTCGATACGGAATCAATTACCTTGGGAAAGGATTCCTAAGCAAACCAGGCTTCACATAGATTATATTTATTCTAATTTGCTACCTAACATACAGTTCCAAATGTTCTGAAGATATCAAAGATATTAATAGTCAACCAATGATCTAATATTCTCAGCACAACCAAGCAAGTCATGTCACGGCATGTCGAGCAGTGAGTATCTGGATGACTGGACGAATGCTACCACATCAATAATAATCCTTTAATGAAGTGGTTCTCCGGTCGAACGTCGATTCCTTTTGACACATGTCTTGGAGCGCCATAGCTCAAAAGGTATCATTTCGTTTCTCACACTACCGTCCTACTCGTCTACCCGGTACACTAGCGCCACTGAATGATGAATGGACGATAGAAGAATTAATATTGTTTTCCATTATTCCTGGGAATTCATTAGGCAACCAAGAATGGAAGATGATTAGTCCCTCGGGTGCTACACTTGATTTCGGAAACATTCGGGAAACCTAGCTCCCTTCATTTACGAGCCCTCGTGAAACTTCAGGAACCTTTGAATAGTGCTGAGATGATCCTTATTCCTGCAAGTTTCCGTGAAGAGAAGAGACGTCCTCGACGAAGATCGCAATTCAACGACTCCATTCGACGCTTCAACAACCACTTAAATGGGATCCTGCGAGATGATACAACATTACTTCCTCCAAACGTGACAGTATTCATTTTTTTCACGGTTACGGTTTGTCGTTG